TGGGAACTATATCCATGCAAGGGCCAGCCAGCGAATCGCCAATCAAAATCGCCATCATCGTCAAATGCGACCGCAGCCCATCAGAAATGCCATTAGAGCAGGCCGTGGAAACCGGTCAGCAGCAACAGCAAGGTGTTGCTACTGATGCTGGTGGGGAAAGGTCCTGTCTACTGCCGTGTGACTAATGCGTCGTATATAGAGATTTCTCTTTATTGTCAGTGACTCTGATGATGCGACGACCGCAGCAACAGTGTGCGGCTCTGGCTCAAATGACTGCCAGTCGGGTTCAGGGGGGATGGAAGAGACGTGACTCACTTGACGCGGCTCGCCAATTGCAAAATGTCGTTGAAGCTTTTTTAATGGACTTTTAAGTTTGCTTTTATTGTCATTTAGTTATATATATGTTTGTATAAGAATAAGTATATATATATATATATAAATGGACGCTCGAATTTAGTTCCTGTCATTGTTGCAACACTATTTCACATGTACATAAATGTGCCCGACATTTATATTTATACACTTGGCAAGGGTATTATTACTATTAGCAAAGCTTACAAAAATAGCAAGAAATTGTGTTTGCTTTTTGGAGCGTGGAACATTTAATACCCTGAAAGACATAGGATGGATGTGTCTTATATTACAGCAAGCTGTATTTTCATACAATGCTTGGATATTTTGCCGATTGTCTCTAAGTCAACTTTATAATATAGTCGTGCGCTGATATAAGGATTTCGTTGGTTTGCTGATGGTTATTTGATATAAGGAATCAGAAATTGTTTTACAATAGTTTCCCAAGCCAAAATACCCCGAACCACTCGCAGTTAAATTTGCAGATATTGCTTATTATTAGAGTAGTTCACAATTCGGTGCTTTGACAAAGTGTTTCTGTACTCTCTTTGTTTAGTGTTTGGTTTGTTTTAGCAGCACTTTGGTTCCAACTTTCATGGGGCAAGTGCTGGACAAATAAAATTAACAATAGTTGCACTTAGCACAAGTCTTCTCGGATTTGATTGTTCGTGGCTCTCGGTTCCAAATTTACTCGACTACTTTTACAATATTTGATCTAAAGCGATAAACTTATCCGCACAGCCCACGAGGACAGCTGGGTGAGTGTGCCAAATGGGTTTCTGCTATTCTTAGCAAGTGTCAATCACAATCCAAATCCCTGGAGAATGCGCGCTGTCACTTGGCCGATAACAATAAATTGGTTCGCCTTTTCTGTGTGCGAGTGTGTTAGTGTGCTTGTGTGCGGCTGACTTTGGGGCCCTATTATGGAAATTAAATTGATATTTAAGTGACACGGATAAATTTCAGGACCCCACGACAATGTTGACGGCAAATTGTTTGGCCACAAAATTTCTATTGAAAATTTTATGAGCTCAAAGGCTGCTTTATGAGGCGACGAAAAAGTTTGTTTTTTTTCTGAGTTTTCTGCTCAGCCACGTGGCGTGGCTCAACCTCAAGTTGCATTGTTTTGGCCGCTCGCAAAAGTATACTACGAAAATCTAATGAGGTGTCTCATTGGCAGTTCGTGTGTATGTGTGTGTGTTGGTCAGCTAATGCTTGTGGTGCGGTAGGATTAACTCTGGTATTTGACCTTTTATGCTTTGGGCTTGCCTCTTGCCTGTTGTTGTTTGCTGTTGCTTTTGCTCTTGGCCAAAAGGTTTAATTAATATGCAAATTATTGTGTGCACGGTTGGGGAGGTATGCATGTTATAACTGTTATGGGGGCTGCGTGGCTGCTAAGTTTAGTTTACACTTGTTTTTAATTAAGACGCTTCATTTCGCAGTGAAATGAATTAACTCAAGTAACTAGGCTAACACTCCGTATGCGTGTTGGCAACAAATTAATATACATTTTGGTTTAGAGGCATGGCAGAGCGTATTTGTTGGGTCACAGACCCAATAACAACAAATAGTTTGACCAAAAAACTGCGAACATTTAAATTATTAATTGAATATTTAACTTTGCTCTTTGTCGCCTCAGCCGCAACAATTGTGGCTGTGGTCAGCAATGTCAAAATGTTATACGAATTTTCATATTCATGTACATTTTCATTTTGGTTCTTACCTTTTGTTCTGCATTGACTGACAAAATAACTAACAGACTAAAAGCAACAAATATTTTAAAATGTCCCGCAGTTTCCTTGGCCCTATGCACTTATGCATACATATGCACGTCTATCTCTCCCACGCCCTCAGTTAATCTGGTCTGGAGTCTGGCTAGCTTAGTTTTGGACAGTCTTTAAATGGTGAAGACGGTCAAGATTTTTGTAATGATTTTTAATTTTGTTTCTTTTTTGGTTTGGCAGCTCTGTCAAGACCCTGCCATTTGCAATTCGTATTGCAAGAACATTTCCGGTTTTCGGAAATGCATTTCCGTTTCCGCTGTCGGCGCTCTGACAAAGTTTGCCGCACATAAATTTTCAGTTTGACTAAAATGTCAAGCTGACACGCCCTAGCACACGCACACACACCTTCACACCCATCCACTTACACATACACATACACAAACACAGCATATCCGCCGGCGCTGTCAAATGCACTTATTGGCCATTCAACCAATTTGGTTACACAATTTTGATGCAATTTATTGCATTGCACGCGTCGATTGGCGGCACACTTGGAAATTTATTGGATTTGATTTGATTTGATTTTCATTAGCATATTCATGACTCATTGATTGTTAAGTGCACCACTGACCACATCAAATAAAAACGCCGAACGAGATCCGTCCGAAATTTACAATAAAAAACAACTCAATTTGAGAAATTGTAGCTGAATTCCAAAAATAAGTGAATTTCAGCTTAAAGCTTTTTCGGCAAAGACAATTCAGCACCTCATTCTGATAGCCTGCAGTGCCTTTGTCTTTGTTTGCTCAACAACCACGCCCATCACTTGCTGCTATTAAAAAAATAAAAAGAACGGACACACAGCGCATCGTCCTTTGATTGCGCCGTGTTTGCTATATCGTATTGCACACCCCGCACAAGAAAAAGTTCGCGCCCGATTGCCTGCCTTTTTTTATGTTACTTTTTTGGCATTTTTTTATGTTCTCTTCCTCAAAACTTTTTGGTGTTATTTTTCAGTGCGCTGCCAGTTGCCAGCAGTGCATTTATTTCTTTTTCATATCCACGGACAACGCGTGGAAAATGTTCGGCCAACAACTCAGTTGATATCGTTGCCAACGTCCTTTCAAGACTATTAACGACAGATCCCAATGGAGTTATTGCAACTGAAGAGCTGGGAGCTCTCCTGTGGGATTTATGGAGCATAAATTGATTTAAAGTTGTGAAAGAATCTTTTGGCGTTTGGTATTTAATGTGATATATCAGATGTTGGTTCATGACTTATCGGTTAACTTTTACGTCAATACAATCTCGGTTTTATTAGCTTCATTATTTTGAGACTTTTAAAAGCAGTTGAAGAGAATTTATTATTATGAAATATATTTGTCAATAAATGGATGAACAAATTAAATAAAAAAGGATATTTCGCACATGAGCTAACATAGTATTCGATTAATGAATAGTTTATAAATCTGCGGTGTGTTTCTTAATTATGCTCAGGCAATATCAAATGCCTGACTGGTTAATCCACACTAATACACACACAGACAAACCCACACAGTTCTGGGGCAGCCGCATGGTGATGCGGCTGCTGGCCGTGGCAGGTGCAATGCCTGTCCCTGACTCATCTAAATCAGGGAGCAGAAACAAGCTGGGGATTTGCTGAGAACATAATAAATATTTATTAGCTGCGCTGCTGTTGATGTTGTCGTTGTCGCTGATGTGGCTGTTGCCAAAAATTAAATTTGTTTTCATTAGGGCAGACAAAGCGTTTAGGGCAACAGGCAAATATATGCTTAAGCGATTCCCACCCACATTGTCCGCTTCTGTACTTCTTAGGCGTACGCGAAAATGTGCTCAAAATTAAAAAGGGTATAGTCTCTGGGTAGAGAGTAGACGAGACGGGGAACGCTTGACGGCGCTGCCAAAACATTTCACGGGCTTAATTACGCGCAAGCCAAGCAGATAAAAAAACACCCAAAAAACACAAAAAAAAATAAATAAAAATAAAAATAAAGGAAACCTAATGAAAAAGTTTGCTCCGTTGAAGAACAAAACGAAAAACAAGAAACGGGCTATGAAAAGCGCGTCGAACGCGAAAATCGTTAGAAAAACAAAACAAACAAAATTTAAGTAAATATACGCCAAAGCGGAGACCAAATAACAACACAAACAGAAGCCCAGCCAGGGCCCAGAGATGAGCGCCAGGGTTGCCAGTAAACAAAATCACAATTAACTGAAAATGACAACAAAAAATAAACATAAAGGAAAGATATATTTTTCGGCTAACCGATGTTTTAATATCCTATCAGAACTATTAATGGTATAAAGCCCATATATTCTCTTCTTTATTTAATTTTTGTTTCCGATATATTTCGGTTGCACATCGGCAAACCGTCTTCAGGGCAAATTTTTTACATGTCTGCACTTTTTGACGTGGAGATTCAAACTGCAGTTTTTATATATGTAAAATATATCCAACTTTTCGGCATGCCGATGAATAAATGAAAATCACATTTATGAGACTATTCTTCCTATGATAACTAAAAAAGTTATAACAATTAAAAAATATATAGTTTTTGGCTGGCTTACACCTTTGACAAAGAACTGATAATACCCCATGCATAGGGTATGAATACCAGAGCACAGATCTGAATGCGCATGTGAAGGCAAAACAAAGGGTTTCAAGGATATGCAGCAGTCAGTTGAAGAGTGTTAAAAAATAAATTGGGCTGGTTGTGAACTGTCGTGGGGCTTGCAGGGGGCAGCAGCAAAGCGTGACAGTGAAAAGGGCAATGCGTGTGCGACACATAAAATATTTTAATTGCCAGCCGTTGGCTTTCACAAAATACAATTTTGATAATGCCCGAAGCTATAATTAAAGGAACAATATTTTTATCAAGGATGCAAAAATAAAACATAATAAAATCCATTTTTTTTGTCCCCTTTATAGAACCTCATATTTTGAATACAAACAAATTTTTGTTATAACCCCAAAACATTGTTTAATTGATTGGCAACCTTGAAATATTTGCAAAATTTAGAATTATTTAAAGCGAATCTTCCTTCCTAATCTTCCCCTCTCTTTCTATACCTCCCTATCAATTGTCCATGCCATTCAAAAACTTAAATATTGTAGCGTTGGCGACATCTTTTCATAGCCTCATTAAAGTCCTGACAGACGGTCAGATCGCTGTTCTCCTCGCTGCACTTGAGGAACTGGCGGATCTCGGCGGCACAAGGACCCTCCTCCACCAGTTCGCTGCGTGGTTTGCTCTGTGCTGCCGGCTGCTCAGTTGCCGCCTGGCCACGTCCACTAAATGCACCAGTTATTCCAGCGCCCACGGCATGACCCACAGCAGAGCCAACGGCTACACCAGCCGCCGTGGCTGCCATATCCTTCATCACATCGCTTGTGGAACGCCCGGAGCTGGGAGCTGCAGCAGGAGCTGGTGCTGGATCCGGCTTGTTCTCCTTTTTGGGCTGCACAGCTGGCAGATTTCTGCTGTTAGAGGCGCCAGTAAACGGAGTGAAACCGCTGCGACTGCTGCTGCTGCTGCTTCTGGCTGAAGACTTGGATGTGGCACCACCCGAGCGTTGACGCGGCATCTTCGTCCAAGCTGAGAATTATGAAGTATGTATCTGGGCAAGCAGATAAAAATCTGAGCAAATTTTGTTTCTGTTATCTGCCGATCTTAGAGATAATTTTGAATCTAGTTTTGTGTAAGCAAACTTTCGAATGTAGCACAAACTGAATTTAAAGCCAACGGCAACTAAGCTGATTTAAAATTTACTAACCCATGTGAACAAATGTATGGGTGTGTGTGTGTTTTTAAATTTCCCCAAGGACTCGGCATTTGGCGTTTGTCAGCTTTTTCGCCAGCCAACTAATTTATATAGCATTGGCAGTGCAGCAACTGGGTCCAAAGGCCCAAACTGGTTAATTACCAACGTGCACGACCCCGAGCGCCACCTGGCGGTCGCCAACTGCAGCTGCAGCAGCAGCAGCTTTTACAGAATGAAATGCAGGGTTTTTATGCCCCTTTCGAGGGTATTACAACTTTGTCACGATATCTGACAATAATATGTGTACATGTGTATATGTGTACATAAAGTGTATACCTATACATATATTTATATATCTTTTATGATTGACTTTTCAACTCTGCTACCATATCTGTAAATATATTCGCATCCAAACGCCTTATGTAAGAAAATTTCTAAGATAAGAGTTTTTAATCTTCCGTGTGTTGAAGAGAACCGTTGTTTCTAGTTTTATCTTATTTTCATTTAAAGCGCGAATTATGAGAACACAATGACGCAATAATGAATTTGTCGGCAAAAAGTGAAGGGAAATAAAGTAAAAAGAAATTTCCCCTCGTCCTCTGTAAAATAAAATTCAATAAGGCATTCGAGCACGTGAGCTATTTGTAACTGGCAATTCACAATACCCTAGATGCCTCATGTTAACCAAAGCAAATTAGTTTAATTAGCTAAAGAGTAGAGGTTCCCTATGACAAACTTTGACATGCGCGATTTCCAACTTCATCTTTTTCCTGTGAAAAAGCGCTATAACGCAGTTTGAGTGTAGCTTCCTATTCGACAGCTTTCACTTACTAATTTACAAACATTTGTGCTGCCTATTATTACCACGGAAGTGCCCTTAGCGCCTTGAGTAGGGCATTCTCGAGTCGGTTATACCCTCTCGAAGGTGCTGCCAAATTCATTCTCGGAAATTTGGCCGCATGTTGAATTGCAGCGGAAATGCTTTAATTACAGCGCAACATGCAAAAGCGCTTTTGTTCTAAGCTTCTAATTTGATTTGGTTTTCGTTTTCAGCTTCACAAGAAATGAAAATACATGACTGGAATTAGCCAAACTGTTAACCAAAAATGTAAAGTATAATTTAAATTTGAGCGCTGCTTATGTGGCAGCTACATAAAGCAACAGTGTTAGCAATTGCTTGTGGCTAGGGCAGGGGCAGGCAGTGACATATGAGCAAATGCGGCAAACAGAATATTTCATTTCAAAATTTGAAGAACCGTCAACTGTGGGGGCAGTGTCTGCAAATGCCGCTTGATTGATGCTGGGTCCCGCCCCTCTCCAAGATGAACACAGCAGTCACTCGTTGTGACCAAGCTAACCAGCGGGTGGGCGATCACAATTTTCAGTCACTGTGTGCTATGAATATTGAAGGAAATTAAAGCTCCCGCTGCTGCTGTCTGTAGCTTGTCTTATGAGTGTGACAGCAGCAACAACAACGTCTTCGACAACGACAACAAGAACAACAACAACAGCAGCAGCAGTACCGGCCTAGCTAACATGGCGAAATGCTAATTTGATTTTGTTTATTGTTTTGGCTACAACTTAATTTGCCCCGTCCGCGGCGTTGAAATGTTTATAAATCAATCAACATCAATAACCGCGGCGAAACACTTTTCAAATGCGGCTGCCCGACCCGATCCCAAGATGGATAGACTTCAGATAAAGTAGATGCCTTAAGTGTGCTCGAATGGACGCAAAATGCAAAATAGAACTCGTACAGACGTTAATTTACAGTGTTTTTATTTGGCCCAGGCCCACGCGGCGTATGATGAATACTTGGGACTGCTTTGTTGTTTCGCATAGACAATTGATGCGATAAAAAGAAGCGCAAAATACAACTGGCTATAAACACACCGCGATTTGCTAGTGTATAATAAATAAAATCATTAGCCATTGATATTGCTTTTCAGTTGTGTTTATTGCTTATAGCCCAGATATAGCCCAGATATATAAATATAAATATGTATATGGTATAAGCTTTTAATGTTCATGCTAACCTTTCTTGTATTGCTCCTAAGCAGGACACTGTGTTTTAAACTAAATATATTTCTTCTATCTCTCCACTTTTTTTCGGATCAAGCAGTTTTCTGCCAACTAGATCTATCACATTTGTTTTAAAATAAATCCCTTTTCACGTGTGCACTAGAGTTTGCTGCGAAAACTGTCAAACGCTATTCATTTTGTAAGAAAAAATTACAGAGACTAAAAGTCATAAAACGTCAAATAGTTGGTGTTACACCAATTTTCCATCTTTGTGTGAGATAATTTCGAAAAACACCTGTTGGAAATTTTCCACTATACATATATGTATATATGCTTAAAGAGCATTGCGTCTGTCGTGTGTCCGTGTCAAATATATTTTTTTTAGCTACTTTTAGTTTCTATAATTTACAGAGTTTTCGATGCGCTGCTCTTGACACATTTAAACTTTTGACAACCACTTGAACATTTCCTAATTTGCAACAAGCTGTTGCCATGGGTATGTACATGTGTGTGCGTGTGTTACGCAAGCAAATGGAAGAATTTCAATTAAAATTTCACACTTTTGCATAGCAGCAAAATGCACACTTCAGATGCATATCAGCTGAGATAAGCGCCAGGTTAAGTTATGGATGCAAATGTATTTGCACGCTGAACGACACGGCGTATGATTAATATTAAGTGGCTCACAGAAAAACAACGAAGCTAAATATCCTATATGCGGTTGCGAGATAACGAAAACTTTGAATACATAACGAATATACCCTGTAAATTAGAGTCAAGTGTTGGTTTTAGACAATTGGCCAATCTGTGAACACTTCCGTGGCACAACATAATACATAATTCCGTGCCTCAATTATTGCATGTGCGCAATTTGTGCCAAGTTTGCGGTTGCCGTAATTGTAAATATGTCTAACGGGCGAAAATGAAAAGAGAGAGAGGGACGGAGAGATAGAGAGAGGGAGACAATGAGATAGATATGGAGGTAAGGGAGTGAAAACGCAATTAAATTTACATAGCGGCCGGGTCGAAGCTGACTGCATTCATAACCGTTTGCAGGCGAAGGAATTGCGCTGGCTCTGAAGAAGAAGAAGACTGGGCCGCATTTGAAATGCGGTAAATTACAGTTAACGATTTTGTAGCACAGCAATTTGCCGTTATCTTTAGATTTTTATCTATGGCCTTTGTAAATGTGGCGTCGGCGTTTGCTTCGGTTTGTTTTGCATGCCACTCTGGCACCTACGTGCAACGTGCCGTGCCACCTGCCACTAGCCGCTTGGCCCCCCGAAGCGACAACCGTTGGTCATTGGCCAAAGCCATCGTGGTCAGTGTGTGTAGTGTGTTTGTGTGTGTGTGTATGTGGCCCACAAAGGTGTTGAAATAACTGCTGCACAATATCTTTTCTATGCCTTTTCTGTTGGAAGGGTATTTGAATTTTATCGTACACTGTGTAACGCATGTGAGACGAAAACATATATTATTCGAGCTGATTAAAATACTTTAACCAAATCAGAGGGGTGTACAAAAGATCCGTAAACTCCAATTATTACACATGACAGGTATTGTGTACCTTTCATGTGTAATAATTGGAGTGTAAAAAGATTGGAGCAAGAAACTTGACTAATATAAACTCTACTGGGATACAAATTGAAATGTAATAAATAAAATGAATAATATAATATAATATATAAATACACACATATTGACACAAATTGAGAACCATTAACCCATCAAAAGTAGATCATAAAATTATTAAGCCCAAAATTGAAGCATGATCAGTTTGTTAAAATAAATCAGATTTAACTAAGTATATCTGCCTCAAAAGTAAGTGGATTGGGCTCTCAATTATTATTTAATAATTTCAATGTAGCTTATTAATAACTTGTGGCTAGAGTATTATGTATTCGCCAAGCTACTAGTCATTCAGTGGGCTATTCCCGACATCGCCATTGCCATTGCTCTGTGCCTGAATTGTTATGGCCTTTTCTGGCGATTGTATTGTGAGCAATGCAAATTGGCGGCACATAATTATGTCGCTGGCACGAGTACAATGCAGAAATAACAGAATAGAAAACGAGTGGGATTACAATAACATGAGAGTACCCAACAGTCAGAGTCCCTATCAGAGTAGCTGGCAGTTGAACAAGCAAAACACTTTCCCTTGCAGCTGAATTTTGCTTTGCTTTGACTAGAAGTTCGTCCTGGCTGAAACTTTTAGCTGTCTAATTAGCAAACTGCCACTCGAGCAACTTATTTATATATAAAACCCAGTTAATCGGGACTATAAAGTAGAATAGGGAAAACTTTTAATTTGCTAACGCCATGACAAACACGCAACCAGCACACTAAAAAAGTACCTTTACTGTGATGGAGTAAAGAGTATTAAATTTAATAATGTTAGCTACGTGAAATGCTTGACCACACTTTTGCGACAATGATCAAAGGCAATTTTACGTGTTGCATAGTTAATATTTTACATTTATAACTTCAAAGTGAAAGTTGAAAGCATATCCCGAAAATTATGAAAATAATGTTGTGAACTTAGCATTCTTTATTCAGGTTGTTATTTTCAAAAATGTATGTCTCTGTGAAAAGGACTGTTTGTCCAGACTAAATGAGCTGAAAATTGTGGATTACTTGCTTTGCTTACCCTCCGATTTTCAAATCATTTTCAAAGATGTTTGCATTGAAGAAAGGTGTTTGGCTCTTTTCGTGTTTCCCACTTTTTGAAAAAGTCTGATTTAGGTTTGATCCGCTCGGCTTCAAACTTGTTTCCCATCCGATTAAAAGCCATGCTTTGATTATATTTTATAAAAATCAGTTGTGAGGTATTTCACGCCTTTCGTAAAATCCACGCCTCCTCGATAGGAACTGCGGTACAAAGCTTATATAACATGTCACTGTTGGGAAATATGTGGAAACGTAGTGTCTATGGTTGGAAACAAAAAGTTAG